CCCCCCATAAACAACCAATCAGGGCCCACCGTTAACAACCAATCAGGGCCCACCGTTTACAACCCACCAGAGTGTATATAACCACGATGCCTGGCCCACAGTAGCCAGACGACACAGACGACCGAGAAGACGACACAGACGACCCAGACGACGACAACCAGGAAGACGACAACTGAAGAACCTGAAGAGCTGAAACACCGCGCAGTCTCCAGACGACCCTGAAGATCCTGAAGAGCTGACACTGCATCGTCTCCAGACGAACTGGGAGACCCTGAAGAGTTGTAACACTACATCGTCTCCGGACGACCCTGAAGAGCTGTGATACCGCGTCGTCTCTGTGCTGTACCGTGCTGCCCACAATAAACAGACGACACTGTCGTCTCCGTGCTGTAACACTACGCTGCTTGCCCTGGCTCTCATTCCTTCACTCAGGAAACCCGTTCGGCTGTCCCCCCGGGTCGGGACAGTGTTCTTCCCTTTTCCCAGGGTAGCCTGCTATTGACTGTCATTAGAAGCAAGCTGGCTGTTTGTGAGCACCAAGGTGTCCTCTGTTGTTTTGGTTTAGTCTTGGTCGTGAGTGGGCATCAGAGAGCTCAGAGATCCTATGCACTTTGGGAAGCCAGAATTATTTAGCGCTGAAATGAGACAGAAGTGCTCTTTGCTCAGCTGCGGACAAAAAAGCAGGTGCTACTGCCACCTGGTGAGCCATTTGAAGACAAGAATTCACACAAAAGGAGAGAGATGAGGGAATTTTTGAAAAGTAATATATTCATTCACTTTGTATCAAATGACAGGGTCTCACTGTTCCTTATGGCTAATATTCCATAGTGTAATCATTCTTTAGAAAGCTATATATAAACAAAAAAGCTATAAAGGCCCCCTGCATGATCCAGAACCAAGGCTTACCATCTGTATTTATTTATTTTTTAAATTTATTTTTATTTTTTATTTTTATTTTTTGGAGAGATTTTCACTGTAGGGCGCGTGCGCTCGCCAGACAGACAGAGAGAGACATAGAGACAGAAAGCGAGAAATCACCCCCCAGGGGGGATGGTCACGCCGCAATCTCTTCTCCTCCATTCTCCTCTCAGGATCTTGGGCACGCACGCACACGCGCCCGGCGTGAGTTTTAAGCCACCGGGTCCGGGACACGAACCGCGGTCGACTACGTGGGAGTCCAGCGACATAGCCATTACGCTAACTGCTGGTTCCCTTTATTTTTTTTTTAAGAGAGATTTTTGGTATAGGGTGCATGTGCTCGCTGGAGCAACAGAAAGCCAGGAAGCAAGAAATAACCACCTGGGGGGATGGCCACACTGCATTTCCTTCTCCTCCATTCTCCTCTTGGGATCTTGGGTATGCACACACACACCCGGTGTGTGTTTGAAGCCACTGGGTCCGGGACTTGAATCACAGTCAACTAGGTGGGAGTACAGCTACATAAACATTACACCATCTGCTGGCCCCTGCATTTTTAAATTTAGGTAAACTAGGAAATATTTTTGGTTTAAGAAACTCTGAATTTTCTGTAACTTAGAACTGAAAGCACTCTAATTTGTAAAGCCACTGTGAGCTCTCATGATCTTTCCTAGAAGTCATGACAGGAAAAAAATGGGTTAGAATTCTGGATTTCTGATGATACTGTGCAACTTGAACCAGCATGTTGGAAGCCAGGTTTAGCCAGTGCCTTGGCCACCCTATTCATCCAGCATGGGGAAATCTGATAGAAAAAGTGACCCATCAAGTTATACTATTGAAAGGCACTAGCACATTGTAGGCTGCACAGGCTTTGAGACCAAAAGGGATTTCACAGGAAGATAAAAGTGCTGTGTGGCTAGCGGGTACCATGGTGGTTAAAGGCACTGGACTCCCACCTGACTGACTGGCAGATTGAGTCCCAGACCCAGGAGCCTGAAAAGGATTCTAGGAGAGCCAGCAGGCGGTATAGTGATTAAGACGCTGGACTCCCATGTGGTCAATCTCAGTTCGAGTCCTGGACCCAACAGATAGAAACTCACACTGGGTGTAGTCCCAAAATCCTCAGAGGAAAATGGAGGAGAAGGAGTTGCTATGTGGCCATCACCTCTGGTGGGTGATTTCTTGCTTTTTGTCTCTCTGTCTCTCTGGTGAGCGCACATGCCCTACAGCAAAAATCTCTCAAAAAGAAAAGAGAAACAGAAAGAGAAACAGGTTGGGCATGTGCGTATGTGTGTCCAAAGTCCCAGAAGGAAAAAGAAATGGAGAAGGGATTGTGACCTGGCCACTCCCCATGGAGAGTGCTCTCTGCAGAGCACCTCTTAGCAAAAACTGAAAAACAAACAAACAAACAAATGATTACATAACGTCACTGTACAATTGTCACTGTTAAAACTGCTTAATCATATATATATATATACACACATATACATATATATATTTTTTTTTTTTTTTTGGAGAGGTTTTTGCTATAGGGCGCGTGTGCTCTCCAGAAAGAACGAGACAGAGAGACAAAAAGTGAGAAATCATCCCCCAGGGGGAATGGCCATGCCGCAATCCCTTCTCCTCCATTCTCCTCTTGGGATCTTGGGCACGCACGCACATGCGACCGGCCTAAGTTTAAGCCACCGGGTCTGGGACTCGAACCGTGGTCAACTACATAGGAGTCCAGGGACATAGCCATTATGCTAACTGCTGGTCCCCAATCATAATTTTTTATTCTTTGATTTACAGGTAGATATGGACATTTTACATATGAAGTACATGTTTGAGTCCAAGTATATACATTTATATATGACTTGTATATATTTTATATATTAGACAAGCTTGCATTTTTCACTCCCACTAACAAAATGCACTGTTTTTGAAATGGATACTATCAAGTAAATGATAATTCTATCCTAAAAATTAACACATCTGATAAATTACATAGAAAAATTTAAGACTTGGGGGCTAGCAGGTGGTGTGGTGGTTAAAGGTGCTGGACTCCAGGGACCAGAAGATGGTGTAATGGTTATGTTGCTGGACTTCCACATGGCCAATTGTGGTTCGAGTCCCAGAGCCGGCAGCTTGAAACTCATGCTGGGCATGTGCCCCAAATCCCAAGATAGCATGAAGAAGGGACTGTGGCATGGCCATCCCCCCTGGGGGGTGATTTCTTGCATTCTGTCTCTCTGTCTCTCTCTGGCACATGCACTAGCCCTATAGCAAAAATGTCTCTTAAAAAAAAAAAAAGTGCTGACTCCCACATGGCCGACCACAGTTCAAGCCCTAAATCTAGTGGCTTGCTTTTTCCCTTTCCCCCTCTCTTTCTGTCTCTTTATGGTCAAATTAAAAATATAATAATAATAAATTAAATAAATGTTTAAAAAAAAGAAAAAAAAATCAAGACTTTCCCCCCTTTGTGTGAGTGGGAGAAGTTTGAGGACAGAGAACTTGACAAAATTAAAGTCTTTCAAACTTGTCACAGACTGTCTAAGGAGGTTTGAATTAGATAAAGGCTACATTACTTAGAAATCAAGTGGACTTTGATGGAAATATCAAGAATAAAAAGCCAAGTATTGTAACTTTGACATTTGTTAAAAAGCATTTATTATCAGGAACCATTTCTGACAATTTCCAGATATTACTGTAAAACTCTGCCTTACCACACAAGGCAGAAGTAAAAACTCAATGATGTAAAATGAAGTGTTCCATTTCTGAAGGGTTAACCAGAAACATCAGTTCATACTGTCACATAAAGAGCACACACACATGTACACACACACACATGTACACACACACACACACACACACACAGCAAAACTTAAACTGATGGTATAGAAAGAGACCAAATGTTAAAAAGTTCAGCAAACCCTGCTTGGGATGAGACAAAGGGTGGGAGCCAACTCCAACAGGGTTACAACCACATTTGTGTTATTTCAGACTACAATATTGCTTGATGTTCTATATTTCAAATAATATTTATTTGAAGTGATTATATTAAGATTGCTTGTAGGATTCCTTCTCCAAAAATATTTTTAAATAACACTTTTTGAAATAAGCTTAATAAAAATTTCCAACATTATACCTTTACTCATTTGTCAAAAAGTACTGAGAACCTACATTAAGCTATGAAATGTCATGGTTTTGTAGACTTAACAAGGAACAAAGCCTTCTCTCATCCAGCTTACATTCTAGTGAGCACGAATTTAGGCATGTTCATCACTGTACTTTTCTTAAATTTATGACCATACTCTTATATCTTGTAAGACCTAACTTCTGTGCAATTACTGATGTTAAAGTTCTAGAACCCTTCTCATTAGATATCTCTGTTATGTGCTCTCCTGACCATTATAAATGCTGAAGTTGGGAAGAAACATTACTTTTTCACTAAAATTTTCTTTTTGTGCTAAAAGAACTCTAGCTCCCATTAGAGGACTTCAAAATAGAAGAACATTTTACAGAACTTCATTTCTGTGTAGATTCTCTGATGAAGGATAATCTTTACTGTACGCTTCACTTGTATAAAATTTATCACCACTATGGACTCTTTGATGAATCAGAAGACCTGAGCTCCAACGGAAACCCTTACCACATGCATCACATTTGTATGGTTTCTCTCCTGTGTGGACTCTCTGATGAGCTTGAAGGTTTGATCTCTGACTGAAGCCCTTTCCACATACCTCACATTTGTATGGTTTCTCCCCGGTGTGGACTCTGTGATGGGCTTGAAGACTCGAATACCCACTAAAGCCCTTACCACACTGTTCACATTTATAGGGTCTCCCTTCTATGTGGATTCTCTGGTGTGCTTGAAGACGTGAATTCTCACTGAAGCCCTTTGTGCACACCTCACATTTGTATGGTTTCCCTCCTGTGTGGACCCTCCGATGTGCTTCAAGACGTGTACTCTGACTAAAGCCTTTCCCACACATTTCACATTTATATGGTTTCACTCTAGTGTGGACTCTCTGATGGCCCTGAAGATATGCTCTCTGACTAAAGCCCTTTCCACATACTTCACATATATATGGTCTCTCTCCAGAGTGGACACTCTGATGGCTTTGAAGATACGATCTCTGACTGAAGCTCTTACCACACTCCTCACAGTGGTATGGCTTCTCTCCTGTGTGGACTCTCTGATGGGCCAGAAGAGTTGAGGCTTTACTGAAGCCTTTACCACATTCTCCACATTTGTAGGGTTTTTCTCCTGTGTGAACCCTCTGATGAATTTGAAGATTAAAACTCCAGCTGAATCCCTTCCCACATTCTTCACATTTGAATGGTTTTTCTCCCGTGTGGACTCTCTGATGGCCTTGAAGGTGTGAACTCCGACTGAAGCCCTTTCCACACTCCTCACACTTGTATGGTTTCTCTCCAGTATGGACTCTCTGATGGCCTTGAAGGTATGAATTCCTACTGAAACCCTTACCGCACTTCTCACATTTGTATGGTTTCTCTCCTGTGTGGACTCTCTGATGGGCTTGAAGGTATGAACTCCTACTGAATCCCTTATCACATTCCTCACATTTATAAGGTTTCTCTCCTGTGTGGACTCTCTGGTGAACATTAAGAACTGACCTATGGGTAAAGCCTTTACCACATGCATTGCATTTGTATGGTTTCTGTCCAGTGTGGACTCTCTGAAGATCTTTAGATTTTGAACTCCACGTGAAGCCATTCCCACACTCCTTATAAGATGTTTCTCCGATGTGAATTTTCTGATGGCTGTGAAGATAAGAATGTTCATTGAAGTTGTTACCACATGAATAATGTTTATATGGTTGGTCCTTAGTGTGGACTATCTGAAGGTCCTGAAAATGTGAGGCCAGATTGAAGCTATTATCACCTCCCTCAGAATTATAGGGACTTTCTTCCATGTAAAGTCTATGCTGAACATTAAGATTTGAACTACAGATGAAACCCTTCCCACACTCTGCACCTGTGTATAATTTCTCTTCTGTGTGGATTTTCTGATGGACTTGAATGCATGAATTCTGATGAAAGATATTCTCATTCTTCTCATATTCATGGGATCCCTCCCCAATATGGACCCTCAAAGTACTGTTAAGACCTACGCTATGATCAAAGGCTTTCTCAAAAATGTTGCACCTGTATGGCATCTCTCTTGCATGGATAAACTTGTAAGTGTCGAGAGGGGAGTACTGATTGAAGTTCTCACCATATTCACCACATTTGCATGGTTTCTCTTTTGTACCTACTTTCTGATGGGATTGCAGATGTGAACTCTCAATAGTACCATCATCTCCTCTCTGAACACTCTGATGAACATGAAGAACTGAATCGTAACTAGAGCCCTTTCCACACAGACTGCATGTATGGGGCTTCCCTTCTAAGTGGAACTGTTGATGAACTTCAGAGCTCATGTCATCATTGACGGCTTTTCCGTACTCATTACACAGGTAGGGCTTCCGTCTTGTTTGAATTAAGTCCTGATTATGTAACGATACTGTCATTATATCTTCTCCACAGTCACGGCAGCTATAACTTTTTTCTTTCCTGTGTACTTCCAGGTTATTATTGTCATGTGAGGTCCATCTGAGGTTGTCACATTTACATAAATTATTTTTCGTGGAAATTTGCTGACATGTACATTGGCAATTATGTGACTCTGTCAGATACATTTTCCTCCAAGAATGCTGGGCCCTCCAGGAAGGAACTTCTTGATTTTTTATATAACTGGAATCATCTCTTATATGAGTTGATATGTACTTCCCATCTTCAGAAATCTGAATTGGTAATACCGTCCAAACGTGGCAGGAGGAATCATCTTGCTTTTGCAACTGAAAATTCTTCCCTTGGAAATTTTCCAAGGAATCTTGATACCTAGTTAACTCGCCTGTACCTTCTTGCCAGGACTGCCAGGAGGACAGCTCTTTGGAGGAAAGGCAGCTTAATTCTGCTTCTTTAATACACATTGTCTTATGTTGATTCTTGCTTCCTATAAAAATAGAGAGAATTCAAATACATGTACAAGTGAATGCTTTATTCAGAGATTTCAAGATTTTATATTTATGTCATAACATGAAACTTGAATGAACCAGAGGAAATTTCATGTCACTACCATCAAGAATACCTAGAAAAGGCTTCTTCTTTGGCTACACAAAGTATATAAGTAAAATACATATAATTCAGGCTACCCATATGCCTCAGAATCAGGACTTTGGCGTTAGCTATAGTGGCTCATACTACTAAGATACTTCTGCTTAGAGGTTGAGACCATAAGGAGGCCCAGGTTCAGTTCCTGGCCCAACCTAAAACATGCTGGGTGTGCTGACATGCATCTGTAGTCCTAGCTAGCTGGGTGGCTGGGCAAGAGGATCTCAACATAGTGAGACGCTGTCAAAAATCAATCAGTCAGGAACCAGCAGTTAGCGTAATGGCTATGTCGCTGGACTCCCACGTAATCGACCACGGTTTGCATCCCAGACCCGGTGGCTTAAAACTCACACCGGGTGCGTGTGCATGTGTGCCCAAGATCCCAAGAGGAGAATGGAGGAGAAGGGATTGTGGCATGATCATCCCCCCTGGGGGGTGATTTCTCGCTTTCTGTCTCTATGTCTCTCTCTGTCTGTCTGGCGAGCGCATGCACCCTATAGTGAAAACCTCTCCAAAAAAATAATCAATTAGACAGTCTTTTTCTCTATTATAAATAAGCAAACTTTAAAAAATCAGGGCTTTTCAGCCCAACCTGACATCAAATGTAGTGACCCTGTTCCAGAGGCCTAGTAAACCATAAACATGTCATCATGGGTTTATCATGGGTTGCCTGGAGAACCAAAAGAGAAAAGAGGAGGAGATAGTCTCAAATTGGAAAGAACACAGTTGCACAGACAAATGGTTTCTGGGCTCATAAAAACTTCTTTGTTCTCTGGCACACCAGCATGGTAATGTAAAAACATTTGTTTTTATAGTGTGTTAAATGCTGTACTGAAGAAGGTAAACAGAAGGTTAAATAGACCTTTAATCTATGCTTGCGGCATCTATAGCCTGTCTCTAATGAGCTATTTATCTTCATGAGAATAAGTTGTTTTTTTGTTTGTTTTTTTTTTGTTTTTGTTTTTAAAAAAGAGAGGTTTTTGCTATAGGGCACGTGTACTCAGCAGAGAAACAGACACAGAAAGTGAGAAAACATTACCACCACCCACCCCCTCATGGGGGATAGCCAGGCTGTAATCCCTTCTCCTCTATTCTCCTCTTGGGATCTTGGGCATGCAGGCACACACACCCAGAGTGAGTTTTAAGAGCTGCGTCCAGGACTTGAACCATGGTCGACTATGTAGGAGTCCAGTGGCATAACCATTATGCCATCTACTGGCCCCAACAATAATAAGCTGTTCGAAGTCACTGTAAGCCAGTATCAGTTTTAACTCTTTTCAAGAGATACTTTACAATTACCAAGAGTCACATTGCAGATCAGAATTTGAAACATGAAAACAAGATTCAACTCAAAGAACATCAGATAAAACCAGGTTGAGGGAGTAAGCACAGCTATTTCATGACACTGGTAGGTGTCCTTTGAGGCAACTCATCAGGTATGAGCAAAAGTTGATGAACACTGACTTTGCCTTGCATCACTTCACTGCAAAATTTCTTTAAATAGAGAATTTGAGGTGTTAGAAAAGGTGAAAACAGGCCTGCACTATCAGTGCTGATTATCAAGAAAGTCATCCAGGGGCCAGCCAGGTGGTGTATTGGTTAAGGAGGCTGGATTCCACATGGTCAACATTGTGGTTTGAGTCCTGGACTTGGTGGAATGAAAAACAGCCCAGGTGCATGTGTGTGCATGCCCAAAATCTGGAGCAGAGAGAATGGAGAAGGGACTGTAGTGTCGTCATCCCTCTGGGGAGTGCTTTCTCACTTTCCTTCTTTCTCTGTCTCTCTCTGGCAAGTGCATACAACCTATAGCAAAATTTAAAAAACAAAAGTCATCGAGGTTGGCCACAGGCAAGTAAGGGGCACTGCTGCATGATGGCTGGGCCACCTGGGAGTCCTGGGTTATGTTCTTGGGCCAATCTAAAATAGGTGGGATAAGCCGATGGTCCTAGCTGAATGGGAGGCTAGGGTAGGAGGATCATGACATGGCTAGACTGCCAAATATATGAATCATTCTATTGTGCTCTTTCTCTCATTAAAAAAAAAGCCTTCTAAATATTATTAGAAAATAAGTGTTTAAATATACATGTAATTTAAAAATAGATTTGTTGGAACATCAAAGATTGCTGCATTTGGAAATGAAGTGAGATTAGAGGAGAAAGAGAAGAAAAGAAGACATCTGAGTATGAAAAGAAACAGTTAAAGAAATTACTGACTTAAAACAATCTCTGGAATATATTTTGGATCAAGAAATCAAGAAAAATGGTAAATTAGAGAAAGAGATAACTAGAGTTAAGAAACTCTTGGAAATGACAAGAAAGAAGTTAAATGAATATGAAAATGAAGACGTTAGTTTCCAAGGAGATTTAAAACCCAGCCAATTTGAAATGGATATTCAATCTAATATGTTACAACATAAGGTACAAGCAACATCTCAAGAAAATTTAGAGCAGCTGAAAGAGAATAATTATGCTTCAGTAAATCAGATGGAGCTCAGAATTAAAGATCCAAAATCTGAACTCTTCAAAGTAAGAGCTTCTCAAGGGTCTAATAACGTAGATTTGGAAAAATACAAGCAACTCTATCTAGAAGAATCACAAGTTAGAAAATCATTATCAGGTGCTCCCACATGGCTGACCATGGTTCAAGTCCTGGACCTGATGGCTTGCTTTCTCACCTTCTTTCTCTCTGTCTGTGTGTGTCTCTCTGGTCAAACTAAAAATGAATGAATGAATAAATAAAGTTAAATAAATTCTTTAAAAAAGAGAAAAATACCAACTTCTACGCTGTTCGTCTTTTTCACTGTTGGCAGTGACATTCAACGTGAAACGGAGACGATCAGAGCAGAAGAAATGATTTCTGAGACTTTTAAACATGATGCTGGAGGAATCTGATCTACCTGTAGACTCATGGCATTTATAAAAGACGGAGCAATGCTATAGAGCTAAGGAAACTTCAACATTAAAAGTCTCTCTGCTGGGGCCAACAGGTGGCATGATGGTTAGAGTCCTGGACTCCCACAGGGCCAACCATCATTCAATTCCTGGACCTGGCAGCTTGATTTTTCACTTTCACTTTCTTTCTCCCTCTGTCTCTCTCTGGTCAAATGAAAGAAAATAATAATAGTGAATAAAGTTAAATAAATAATTCTTTTTAAAAAAAAATTCCCTCTGCTGGATTTCCTAAATGTGTCCAATGGTGGTACCAGAAGAGTCATCACAATAAGATGAACTGTGGTATTTGGAGTGTGTGTGTGCGGGTGTGTGTGTGTGTGTGTGTGTGTGTAGGAGGGTACACGTGTACACACGCATGCACCCAAGTTGCTCTGGTTTCTCTGGTAGAATCACAGAAACTTCTCTGTAGTAGTTGATAGATGCAAAAATCTCAGAAGACCACTCCTGGGAGATCCAAAGTCTCAGGCTATGACTTTATTTCTGCCTTGGAGTTTCTAAGCACCTTGGCAGTAGATATGAATATAAATAAGGAATGAGAACAGATACGTTTTGTACCCCTTCAGAAAGAAAACTTAGGCTACAAGGATTTGCTAACAAGAACATTCACATGTACCTCTGGTGAGAGGGGTGGATTTTGTGGATTTAGGGTGACATATTGCCAAAGACAGTATGTTATACTCACTGAGAAAGAAAGTTGCTACTTTCTAGTAAAACTTGTCAAAGAAAATTCAGGAGAAAATCGAACTTGCTAAATCTCCTGAAAAGCTTAGCTAAGGGCTGGCCCCATAGTATAGCTGTTAAATACTGTGCATATAGAGCCAGAGCCCACATGGATGACCACGGTTTGAATCCTGGTTCCAGTGGCTTGAAAAATGTGCCAGGAACATGTGCATACATGAGCAAAGTCCTGATGGGATGAAGAAATAGAGGGAAAAGGATTACAGTGTGCTCACACCCCATGGGGGAGTGCTTTCTCCCTCTCCCTCTCTCTATCTCTGTCTCTCTCTATCTCTACGGCAAACCCACACACTCTCTGGCAATTAAAAGAAAAATAGGGACCAGTAGATGGCATAATGGTTACATCAAGGGACTCCTACATAGTCGACCGCAGTTCGAGTCTTAGACCCAGTTTTAAACTCACACTGGGTGTAAATGCATGCATGCCCCAAATCCTGAGATCAAACTAGAGGAAAAGGGATTACAGTGTGGCCATCCGCCTGGGGGGTTATTTCTCACTTTATGTCTCTGTCTATCTGGTGAGTGCATGTCCCCTAAAGCAAAAATCTCTCTTAAAATAGTTGAGTCCCAGACCTGGTGGTTTAAAACTCACACTGGCCACATGTGCATGTATGCCCAAAATCCTGAGGAGAATGGAGGAGAAGGGATTGTGGCATGGCCATCCCCCCTGGGGGGTGCCTTCTTTCTGTCTCTCTGGCTCTCTGGCGAGCACACACACCTTATAGCAAAAATCTCTCTAAAAAAGAAAAAAGAAAAGAAAGAGAAAGAAAAAAAGTTAAGAATTTGATTAATGATATAGTTGGTTTCGGTATAACTGGAGATGACACTGAAGAGGAAAACAAAAACAATTTGTTATATATTTCTTTAAAAGTCCTGAAGCCTCTGGTTTATAGAACAAGGAAGTTTTCTCCAGTGTAGAGATGCCTTCCCAGCACCATGGAGCAGGAGCTTCTGTTTCTACTCCTGTTGGGAGTTTTGAATTACATTAACTGTAACTGGGGTGTTATGGTGTAGTGCTGGTGAAGGATCCTCTCTTGGAGCCCCTGGGACCACGATGCTTCATCTCAGCAAGGGCTGAGGTCTCTGCCCTTCAGGCACAAGTTGCTTACTCTGCACCTCTGACAGAATTAACAATTCAATTCCATGAAAACAG